CCCCCCCCCCCCCCCCCCCCCCCCCGGGGGGGGGGGCGCCGCCCCCCCCCCCCCCCCCCCCGGCCCGGCTTGGAGGGAGACGCCGACAGACGCCCCTGACGCCTCGAAGGCAGGTGCTTTGCCGACAGCGAGAAAAGCCGGCTGCCAAAGGCCGGCTGGCAACGGGATGCAAGTTACGGGGGACAAAATGAGACCAACGTTTGCTGACATTTCTAAGACGTTTCTGGAATAGCAGAGGCATCGCATGAGTCACATGCAACGTTTTAAAAGGCCACCCAGCAGGGCAATCATGATCTCCCCGAATGCAATCATGATCTGTTAGTCTGAATGAGAAATTCAGGCACTCGGTTTTTCCTGCCCTCCCTGATCCCCACGGTCACTTCGCTGGATACACTCTCTACCTCCAGAATTGGCCACGTCGCATACTTATCTGGAGAACATCACGAATAGACGTACTCCTTAGAGTTTATTCTGCTGTTATGGTCGTGTGGACTCTTCTTTGTGGACAAGAAAAGTTAAACGGAGGGAAAAATCTTAAGTCAGAATGAATTCGTTTGGTCTTTCGGTATTTAAAGACCTTCTAGAGGAATCAGAGCAATTGCAAATGAACAGCCTCCCTTTTCTAGATTTTAACACTGGGCTCCAAATCTTTCAGCATCTCTGGGTCTAGCTGGCTTTTGAGGGCCCCCTGCAGCTGCGTCTTCAGATTGAAAGCCAGTCTCCTCTCATTTATTTATGACAACACAAAAGACAAGGGCTGGGGTGGAGCTGGAAAGACAGTTGGAGGGGAGAGCACTTTCCTTGAATCTTGTCCAGAGACAAATCTGCATTCGAATGAAAACACTACATTGAAAGCCACTTCTGGGCAGGAGGTCTCAGATCCTCCAGGCCTTCCCAGGGGAGCAGAAAGGTTTTAGAGAGCCCGCTGGTGTGAAAAGGGGATAGGATTGTGCATCGTGAGAGAGAAGCTGGGGAGGAAGGTTTTGAAATTAGGGTTTGGAGTTGGCTGGGGAGGGGGAAGCGAGTAAGGTGGAGGGAAGGGAGAGACTGAACAGATGCTACCCATTAAAAGTTTCAATTATGCCTCTCCACCCGTTTTGGAATGGCAATTGGCAAATAACAGACTGAGCACTTTCATCTGCACATACACAGCATTCCAAATTTTATCTGGGATGTCAGGTTCATGTGAAAGTCTGCGGGAGTTAACGGAGCCACATCAAAATCTTCTGTTAAGAGCAACCTGGTGTGGGAGGCAGATAGACACTCTGTTGAAAGACAGTCTCCGTGCTGTGTGTGCGCGTGTGCAGACATGCATTTATACGCATGTATATATGATGGGTATATTTTATGTAGTTGCATGTATATTATGTATATATAAACTCAACCCAATTATTTTGAGTTTAACAATAGGAATGGAAGTAAAGTGTAAGCTCCATGTTTGTTCAGTGAGGTGTCTCCAGCAACTAGAAGAGGGTCTGGTTCACAGCAGGGACTGACTCTAGGCATACTGGGGGAATGAATGAAGAAACGGTTATTAAAGCTGGTCCTCAAGGCTTTGGCAATGAGGGTTTTATGCATGCAGGATGGTTGGACAAAGTCTGCAGATCTTGGGTACCTCACCCCTACCTCCCCAACCCCAGAGAAATAGTCCTTTGCCATCCAGAACCATTGAGGGAATGGCTTAGATCGATTTTGCTTCTCTCCTGGTAGAAGTTCTGAGCATGAAACATAGACTGGGCTTTTCAAGGCTGGCTGCATATTATAATTACCAGGGAGCTTTTACAAAAATCTCAATACCCACGACTCACTCTAGCCATTTAATTCAGATTCTCTAAAGGTGGGACTGAACATCAGGCTTTTGGGGAGTTCAGCAGGTGATGCCAAAGTGCAACCAAATATAAGAACCAGTTCTCCCCAGAGCAGTGGTTTTCAGAGGGACAACCCCGCTCCTGCAGCTGAGCACCAGCATTAGAATTGGCATCAGCATCAGCCCGCCTTACACTGAACAGAAACTCTAGGGGAGGGTGCAGGGATGTGTGTTTTATGAAGCTCTCAAGGTGATTTTGGTGCTCATCAAAGTCTGCAAACCACTGATGTTGAGATTTTGATTCAAGGGTTTGGAGTGGGCCTGACAGTCTGCATTTCTGACAATCTTCCAGAGAAAGTAGCTACTGCTGGTATGAGAATGACCACTGAGCTGCAGACATTTTTCTTCAGAAGGTCTCCTGGGGTTCCATATGAACTGTGGCCTGAGTAACATTCATAGATGCAGAACCCAGCTGGCAAGTGATGGAAAAGCTTCCATCAGGAATTTCTGAAAACCCTTCCTACAGGAGCATAATGAGGAGAAAGAACCCTGGAGGGTCTAAGGAGAGCTCCCCGCTTACAACAAAACAAACACTTTTTAAAAATGCCTTTTATATACCATTAGTAATAACCTTATCACACATCAGTGATGCTATTACCAAATAGCATAATAGATGCTAAGGTATACCAATACAAATTAAAACAATATTAAGTCAGTATTTGCTATAGTATTTAAATATTAGAATGGCCTGTGTCCCAGGAAAACCTTGAATAACATTTGCCAACACTTAATGTTTCTTTTAATCTGCTGGAACATCTGGTCTCAGGAGTGCTAACTCTGCTGAATATTATTGTCTCCTAAGTTTTCTTTAAAAGGACCCCTAATCTGTAGACATATTGAGAACTGCCACTCCGGTTCCAGACTTTTTGACAAGCTACAGCAGCCAATTAGAAAATTTACTTTTTAGTTATTGTAGTATCATTGTGAAATTTTGCCAATATGTTTTGACATAAAAAAAGAAAGATATAAATAATAAAATTTATATACTCTATAAGATAGTAAGTGGTACTGGCGACTATGTACTAAAATGCAACTCCAAGTAAGCCTTCTGAATCCATTTGTCTAAAAAGCCATCATCAGTCAAAAAGCTTTCCCAGGGCTACCAGCTATATTGGTGAGATAGCTGTGTAGCAACACTGCCCAGCCGAGCCTTCAGCAATGTTGGAAATATTCCAATCCGCACTGCCCGATATGGTAGCTGCTGGACACATGGGCCTACTGAGCACTTGAAACGTGGCTGGCCAACTGAAGAGCTGAGTTTCAATATGAATTTCATTTTAATTAGTTTAAATTTAAATTGCCACATGTGACTCATGTCCACCTTATTGGACAGCACAGCCCTTCTGCAATTTACAGTAAGTAATCCAGGGGTGCTGCACTCTATTCCGACGGAATAATAAGATGGAGTAATAAATGCCTATGAATGGTTCTTTGGCTAAACAGAGAAATTTGTTTTGTAGCATCATTTGGATGAAAACAGCAATCTTTTGGGGCTTGTTTCTACTATTGTGACTACGTTTTCTTTCGTTATGTGATTTCATTTAGTAACTTTAGCCAGTTAGGGATACATAAGGCTGTATGTACCTCAAGCCTGCTACACAATTCCTAGGATGGTTTATTACTCCCTGGGTCACTGGATTAGAAATTATATAAAGATATTTCAACACATATAGAATTTCATCCACTTTACTGTCATGGAGGCTCAATTCTACCTTAAAAGTATTATTAACGTACAATACAATAAAATTGTAAATCTAATTTTAAAGTTAGAATTAGGTAAAATTTTACTTTTTTTCAAAGTCAAACTAGTACACACTCCCTCCCTAGGAATATTTGGAAATGTGTATGTACATGCAATGAAATAAATAATAAAGTTTTTATTGGTGATGAGACCCTTAAAAAATGATATAAAAATTTTGAGAAATACTTGGAGCAGACTGGTCCGCAGTACTGCCCTTGCTCACACAGCATTGGCCATCGGTAGGACAATTCTTGTTTCTGTCTTCATTCTCAGCTCTTTGGATGGGTCTCAGCCCAACAGGCTATTCTATTTGTTTTTCGCACCCCTTCCAATGGGGGACACATCTGTGTGAAATTGACAAGGAAAGAGAACATTCAGGAATAAGCAACCTTGTCAAGTAGTTGCTCTGATTAAATAGTTTCTGATCAGCGGAGTTTGTAGTTCCATTCTTACTCCCATTATGGGAAATTTATCAAGAGAAATATGAAACATTAACTCACCAAAGCTCTTATAAATTAAATGTTTCATCTGTATACATACCAGTTCCAGATGGATCAGATTTGGGATATACTATAGCTGAAATTTTTATATTGTATGTGTCTGTGTCTGTGCGTGTTTGCGTGTGTATATTTAGTGGTACACTGAGGCCTCTTGTATAATAATGGAATGCATTTATACCTATTTTATAGAACTGTTTAATAGGAGGATGTATTTTTGAAGTGCAGTAGTAAGAATATTGAAATGGGAAGTTAGGCAATTTATACATGATTCCCAAGAACCCTAACTAGCAGTAGTCAAGTTCCATGCATTAATTCACCCACTAACTCAATAAACCACAAACAAGGTAGACTATATTCTATGTACAAATGAGGAATTTGTTCTTGAAGCAATTTCAGCAATTCTCTTATATGGACTATTTTACTTTGACACTATTTTGAAGATCTTTCTTTTTTTTGCACAGAACACTGTCTGGTTCACAATCATGACATTGTTCTTTTTGGGAAAGAGGAGCACCTGAGAACATGGTGCTCTTGGACCAGAAAGTGCCATCGGCCTCAACACTGAGCACAGTAGCTTCCTGATCTCTTCACACAGTATCTCCTACAAAGGGGGTACAGATGACAGAAGCAGTCATATGGGGACAGTTCTCGGAACTTGGAAATGTGT